TTTGCATGTCATGAGTCTCTCTCATATATTAGTTTCACCTTTTAAGTTGCATTAGTGAAATAAATGAACTTTTGCACGATATTCGAATTTTCGAGTTTCACCTGTACTGACTCCTTTTGTTTGCCTGCCTCTGCAGAACTTTCCTCCTAGCACACAGAGTGAACAGCACCTCTGCAGAACATTCCTTCCATTCTGGCACAGGCACTGAACAATTGACTTCTACTAAAGAGATTGGCCTGCAAGCCACATTACAGAGACATTACGATTATCGGGGGATTCTTCGTCCTGAGGAAAGTCCTGACAATTCCCAATCCGGATGTGTAGATTCCAGAAGCTCCTATATGGAGCGGAGCGTGTTTGTCACGCTTCACAGACTTTCCATTGTACGGCGAGTGTAAACGCTGTGCTCAGCGTCCTCCGGGCGGTCTCCTTAAATACAAATTGTGATATTATAAGGGCGGCGGAGCACATCATCCCTGGCTGTGTATTGTGATCGGCAGGCAGCGTGGCTGACTTCATGTCCCCATAGACTAGAGATTACCGACAATGTAAATGGCTCGCACATGAATGGGAAGTGATAATCGACTCCACCATCCTCCATCGCTCACAGATAAGCAGCGCAGACGTTGTCACAAGATATTACCAGACGACCGTTACAACTGTCCAATATCACACACAGCTATAGAGAGTCTTAACATTGCATCTGTCCCCCATATACAACGCAACCCGCAGAGCCAGCAATCTAACTAGGCCGGCCTTACGGATGAGTACTAAGAACCAGGGCCGGATTTACCATTAGGTGAAGTAGTCACGTGCCTACAGGTGCCCTCCACGGAGGGGCGCTGTGCAGGTACCTACTTCCCGGTGTTGTGCACGATTCCACACCGGCGATAGCAAGGAGGGTGAAATGCACCCTCCTGCCCCAAGACCAGGCGGCACCTTCAGGAACCACCGGCTTCCACAAATTCGTGGGAAGAACCATATAGGTTGGACTTGATGGGCTAATGTCTTTATTCAACCTCAAATACTATGTAACTATGTAACCATGGTGCTACGTAAGGCTGCCCCGTACAATGCCTGTCTGATGCAGCCTTACGTGACGCCAGGGTCCTCCTCTGCATATGTGAAGGTGCCCCGAAACGGAAATCCGGCCCTGCTGAGAACTTCCAGTCAGGGTGTCATTAACCAACCAAGAGCAAGTAGGCCTGGATCAACTTTTCATGAACATTTTAAAAATGACTCTGGGAGTGGCCGGGCCGAGGTGATCCGGGATACACATCACATTTCCCTGATATAATGGGCCTGATGAATAAGAAGGCTGGCTATTGGCTAGCCTGTATTTGTGGGAGGAGGCTGGACTGTAAATACGGCCGCGGTTCCCCCACTCACAGTCGGATCGTTTTCTGGTATCCCACCCAAACCCCTTTTATAAATACTTGAGTATGCCCCCTTTAAGGCATATTGACCAGCGAGACCAAGGCACACCTCAGGACGTGGTACATAGGGGGGGGGTTTGCATGGTCGTGTCCAGATTCCAGACTTTTGCCACACGTGTGATATGCACTCAACATGTTGAAGGTGATTTACATGTGTGTGTGTGTGCGTAAACCTGGAAAATCATGAATTGTGATATGTTGCAGGAATGTTGCAGTTTCTGCACATTATAAACTAAGATCTGTTACAATGTGGAGGAGATATTAGCCGGAGATCTGTACATTGGGCCGACTCTCTCTGACAGAGGAAGACTGAGCCGGGAGATGCTTCCTCCTCCCTCTACCTTGCTGAGCAGAGGGGATATTAGCTGGAGATCTGACAGAGGAAGACTGAGCCGGGAGATGCTTCCTCCTCCATCTACCTTGCTGAGCAGAGGGGATATTAGCTGGAGATCTGACAGAGGGAGACTGAGCCGGGAGATGCTTCCTCCTCCATCTACCTTGCTGAGCAGAGGGGAGGAAGAAGGAGGAAGCTGGCAGGTTCCCTGTGATGAGCGTCGGACAGGCTATGACCAGCGGGCAGTTCTGTGATGCTCTGCTGCCTGCACTTCTCTCTTTCCCCCGGTGATCATTTCCTGGTCACAGGGGAGATAGGTGAAGAATCTGTACAATGAGCTTCTATAGGGTGCACAGTGACCGCACGCCGGGTGTACTCAGTCACTCAGGGACCTCTGTATGTTAGGGGCACTGTGCGCACAGATGTATACATGGAACCGCGCCATTTATAGTTCATCTGACCCAGTGTCCGGGGGAGGCCTAATGTTTGAATTGTGTTCCTGCACAGCCGGCATCCTTTTAGACCTTGTATGTTCTCCCTGCACACCAGTCTCTGCATCCCAATTAGCACGGTCTAGAGATAAATGTTGTCACCCGGCCTCTAAACCAAATCTCCGTATTCCAGTCTTCAAAATTCTGAAACCTGTCATAACCTAAAACTCCCATCTAGGGTTGCCACCTGTTTTGAATGCTGTGTCCGGGTTTCATGGCAGCAGAAACCCGGACACAAGATATCAAGCAGACAGGGGCAACCAAAATTAAGATAGGGGCTACTCCCCCCCCCTCCCCACACACACACACACACTTAAAATAGCCTCAACTGTGATATTTACATATGACTAAGCCATGTCTCATTCTCCCAAACAAATGTTCGTGTGTTGCTAGAGTGTTCGGGTTTCACATGAAGAAAAGGTGGCAACCGTACTCCCATCCCATACAGTGCACAATCCTAAAATGTCCTGCAAGAGCCACACTGCACAGAGACGAGATGTTAGACTCCAAATGTGCCACTTTTATAGTAAAAGATGAAATATTTGCGTCTTCATTCTTGCCTTTTGGCCATCATTGCAGAACCATATCCCAGGGGGACTTCTTATATTTTTTTTATTATTCTTTGCTGTCGTCCAGCAAGCCATTGTAGGCGGAGAATGTGCTTTAGTGCGGGTCGGGGCATTCATTTGAAATGGGCGCAGTTCTACAAGAGGCATATTTTTAACCTATTGTACAATTTAACTTTAAAATGCTGTTTGTACACAAAGTTTTTGATATCAAAATTATATTATTTGTTTTATCTCTTTCCAACTTTGTCTGTACCGTCTCTTTAAAGTTTGGCAACCCAACAGCTCCTGCACAGAATACACAGGTGATAATCCCATATACAGTGCAGGGGTCAGTAGTAGAATGTACAACATAGAGTATACGGTGCAGGGGTCAGGAGTAGAATGTACAACATAGAGTATACGGTGCAGGGGTCAGTAGTAGAATGTACAACATAGAGTATACGGTGCAGGGGTCAGGAGTAGAATGTACAACATAGAGTATACGGTGCAGGGGTCAGGAGTAGA